TGCATGGAGTTGGATGCTTTCAGAAGTTCTTCACACGTACCTGTGTTAGCCTTCAATTAAGTTTATTTGTAATCTGAAAGTTGTTTATACATATAGATACCAGCTGTTCGCATTCAATTAACTTTTTTTTGTAATCGAGAAACATTTATTCCAAAGCATCTTTTTATTGAATTTCGGATATTTTTGATTCATAATCAACTTGCACATGGAGTTGTGTTTTTTCAGAAGTTGTTCATTGATACCAATGTCAACATTCAACCAATTTTTTTTTTTAGTAATTATGCAAGATTTATTTCTGTTGATTTTGGGATATTTCAGAATTTGGCAAGACTATATATTTCTCTTGAATTTGGGATATTTCCGATTGTTGATCTGCTCTTGCATGGAGTTGTGTGTTTTCAGAAGTTGTGCATAGATAAAAGTGTTAGTGTTCAATTAGCATTTTTGTAATCTTATTGATTAATGATTTACTCTTGCAAGGAATTGTGTTGTTTCAGAAGTTGTTCACAGATATCAACTGTTTTGTTTCATATCGTCATTCAGTTACTTTTGTGGTATTTTTATTCGATCATGATCTACTCTTGATGAAAAGAAGATTTTGATTAAAGATACATTATGGGAGGTTAGATAAAGAGCTGACAGTTCTCGCTATAATAGTTAAAAACTTGATAATGGAAAGGTAATTTGTTGAAAATTTCAGTCAAATTGGTCCATTATGAAGTATGAACCGAGATATCAGCTTTGTAAATTTCCGCCTAGCCTTGTTCATCATTACTAAAGTTAGTATGTTAAAAAGCATAGTCTCGATTATCCATTGTTTTGATTTAATTATCAATGAGCGTTTTCAGCATATAGGATTCTAATCCAGTTGATATCAAAGGATAGCCTTCACATCGAGAGTTGATTATGATCTGGATAAGAAAATTAATGTCTAATTAATAATTTAGATAAGATTTCAGGCCTAAAGAAAGACCTGGGATAGGCAGATTTAGCTCTTTCATAATGCATGTTTAATAATCATAGTTTGATGAAAGAAAATCAACTGTTTCACTTTTAGATTAATTGGAACATTTTAACTGTTTGTCATGTTTCAATTGTGGGGGGGGGGGGTGGCCGAATGGTTAGCATGTGTATCATAAGGTCTGTCATTGAGTCAACTGGCGTGATTTCAATTCCCCGGTTGTACATGACAAGGAGTAGGGCCGTCTGGCCAACCTCGTGGGTTTTCTCCAGGTCCTCCGGTATCCTCCCACTGCTAAAGACCCCTAAGCACAAGAAATTATTGAAATAGAATTTAACCATATGTTAGTCCCGAAATGACCTAGTTTGTTGAGCAGATGTTAAACCCCATTTCACTCTCTCTCTTATTTCTATTTCAATTGTGAGTATACAAAGATTTGACAAGATTTAGCTTAAATAGTTTCAATTTTCAATTTGAATAATTTTTGACAAATTAATGATGAATTTGGTTATTTATCGACAGGATTTCTAACACCCAAAGTAATACTTGCCTAATTAAGAATGATGGGTGTGGTAATTTTGAAGGATTAATTAAGGAGGTATTTTTTTAAACAGTATATTTCGTTCTGAGAAAAGGATTGATGGACATGCGAAGCATTTATTATCTCTTCCCTATAATTAATGTGTATCATAGAAATGGTGATATGTTTGTTGAGAACTGTTTTTAATCTTAATTCAACTAAAACTACATGTAGTTATAATTAGCTGAGAAATAAAGATATATTAAGATAATTTTTAAAGGATTAATTAAGATGCCTTAGAAATAGCAATACATTATTTGAGAGTTTAACTTTAATTCAGCTAGAAACCAAAAGTTGGACAAAAAATGGAAAATAAGAATTTTTTAAGGATCGTCTTAGATTAGCTGAGAAATAAGGATATATTAAGATAATTTTTAAAGGATTAATTAAGATGCCTTAGAAATAGCAATACATTATTTGAGAGTTTAACTTTAATTCAGCTAGAAACCAAAAGTTGGACAAAAAATGGAAAATAAGGATTTTTTAAGGATCGTCTTAGATTAGCTGAGAAATAAGGATATATTAAGATAATTTTTAAAGGATTAATTAAGGATTGCCTTAAAAATAGCAATACATTATTTCAGAATTTAACTTTAATTCAACTAGAAACCAAAAGTTGGACAAAAAATGGAAAATAAGGATTTTTTAAGGATCGTCATAGATTAGCTTTAAGGATTTTTTAAGGAGTGTCTTAGATTAGCGGAGGAATAAGGATATTTTAAGATAATTTTAAAGTATTGATTAAGGAGTGTCTTAAAATGACAAATCTTGATTGAGAATTTAATTTCATTTTAATTCTAATAGAAGTCACAATTACCTGATATTGGACAACAAAAAGGAAAATAAGGATTTTTTAAGACAAAGGATTATTATTAGAGAGTATCAAATATTCAAGAATATAACTAGAAGTCACGATCACCTGATGCAGATTTTTTATTTTATCGTAGCTACTAAGTGCATATCTCAACTGCTCTTGAAATACAAAAAGAAACCAATTGTAATAACATGGATTTCTGAGCCATCCATAGAAAAATGTAATTGATATGCTTGTTTATGATTATTGCTAAGGAACGGAATCTGCATGATTCAATTACATTAAAGGGTCATTAAGGGAGATTAGATAAAGAGTTGACAGTTCTCACTATAATAGTTAAAAACTAGATAATGTAAATAGAATATGCTGAAAATTTCAGTCAAATTGCTCCACTAGCTGAGATATTAGCTTTTGAATTTTAGGCTAGCCTCGATCATCATTACTAAAGACTTGATTATCTATTTTTATGTCTAATTATTTTTCAAAAAATATTTTCCAATCCACTAAATATCGCAGGCTGGCCATGGCATAGAGAGTTGATTATGGTCTGGATAAGTTAATTAATGTCTAATTAAAAATTTAGATAACATTTCAGGCCTAAAGAAAGACCTGCAATATGCAGATTTAGCTCTTGAATAATGTATGTTTAAGTATACACTAACTTTTTTCTTTCTATTTGAGCAATCTACTTAAAATACAGATTTATGTTTCATTTCGATTTTTTATACTTTCGAAGGCCTCTACTTCAAGAAAATCTGACTGGTTCTAGTGGAAGGTCATGCCAGGGGTCATACAAGCAGCTTTTGACCCTATGATGTCATATTAGAAAGACAGTATCATGAATTGTGCAATTTAACTCTCAGGATTTAGCATGCTCTTTTGTGTACATGAAATGAAATGGGGTTTAACGTCCTACTGTTCTGCTCCTAAACTGAGCTAATGAAGACGGGCATACGCCATACAGTGTACTATGAGGGAAATTTTGCCCGGGCAGCGCTGCTACGGCCCACTCTTATATCAAATTCCAACCGCCAAGGGATCTTTTACGTGCACGCCAATGTGTACACGGGACCTCGGTTTTTCGTACCATCTGAACGACTAGACAGCTGTCCTTGTCAGGCATCACTGACAAGGGGAAACCACAACGGAAAATCTGGATGAACTTTCTCGGCCATGCAAGGATCGAACACCCATCCTCCAGGCTAGTGAGCCAGCGTCTTACCCACTTAGCCACTGTGATCCCCCTTTTGTTTACATACATGTATACACTAATTGTTTAGATAACCATGTACAGACAGTGGGGGGTTGGATGGCCGAATGGTAAGCAGTGCGTGCTGTATCATAAAGCCTGTCATTGAGTCAACTGGCATGGTTTCGAATCCCCGGTTGTACATGACAAGGAGTAGGGTCGCCTGTCCAACGGTTTCCTCCCACTGCTAAAGACCCCTACGAGCAAGCGAATTATTGAAATAAAATTAAACCATATGTTATTCCCGAAATGACCTAGTTTGTGTCGAATGGACGTTAAACCCCATTTCTCCCTCTCTCTCTCTATGTACAGACAGGTTTAGCTACAAAGAAGAGTCAAAACAACGATTTTTCAGTGTCCGTGATGTTGGAACAAAAGTTTTAGGCCTAATCGTAGCTACATTGATTTCTGAGCTATCCATAGATAGTTGAAAATAGGTTTGTGATTATTGCTTAGGAACGGAATCGGACCTGATTACTTGTCATTTATTAAACAGTCTATATCAGAAAGATATTATATCCCGACTTATGAAACTTATCTCTTGGGATTTAACATGCTCTTTTGCGTACATGTACACTAATTTAGATTTCCATATGTGAACATATAGTTACAAAGAAGGGGGATCACGTTGGCTAAGTGGGTAAGACACTAGCTCGCTAGCCTGAAGGTCAGGTGTTTGATCCCTGCATTGGACGAGAAAGTTCATCCAGATTTTCCGGCGTACAGCTGTCTAGTCGTTCAGATTGGACGAAAAACCGAGGTCCTGTGTACACATTGGTGTGAACGTTAAATATCCCTTGACAGTTGGAATTCGATATAAGAGTAGGTCGTAGTGCCGCTGTCCGGGCAAAATTTCTCTCATAGTAAACTGTATGGCAGATGCCCGTCTTCATTAGCCCAGTTTGGAGCAAAACAATAGGACATTAAACTCCATTTCATTTCATATTTTCAGTGACAAAGAAGGGTTCAACATTTTTATAATATTTGGTCATAAAGTAGCACCAGTCTGAACAGGACGTTAACCCCATTTCATTTCATGATGTAGCAACTGTCTTCATTAGCCCAGTCTGAGCAGGCCCTTAACCCCATTTCATTTCATAAAGTAGCACCAATCTTCATTAGCCCAGTCGGAGTATTAGGACGTTGAACCCTGTTTCATTTCATAAAGTAGCACCCATCTTCATTAGCCCAGTCGGAGTATTAGGACGTTAACCCCTGTCTCATTTCATAAAGTAACAGACGTAGCAGGTCTTGTATTGTGATTTTAGATATTAACAGTCATTTCTGATCAATATCTCTTTCGTCGGCGTCTGTTTTGATATTGAAATATTTATAAATTAGGATCAATATTGTATTTGAGCTCAGTCATACTTTGTAAAATGTTGAAAAGGGAAAACGTTTTAGATTGTGATGTCTAGGATTTTAAATTGATTCAACTTTCGAAGACCTGTCTCTTTTAATCAATGTTTGGATTTCGTGAGATCTGGGTCTCAGACATGGCAAATGACAATCGGACAAATTCGATCTCTAAAGTTGTTATGATAGATGATTTCGGGAAACGCTAAGATTAGATGGCCAAATGATAAACCATTGTCTTAAGCTGATAGATTATATTGTGTTATTTCATTTGAAGGAAGTTAGCCTGTGACAAGATGTTACATTAAATGGCTTAGAGGTCTGTTTTATAAGGAAAAGAACTCTATATACCTCTTAGTGTCCTTGGGGATCATCGTACAAGTGTCCTGACAACAACAAATTTGTTTTGGAGATTGACGACATTTTTCTTTTGATTCAAGATATTTTCGTACACTTAAGGTTTCGGTTGTTAGCAGCTATACTTCTGGTAAGACGGCTAAATGTGTCAGTTACATATATCAAGGACAACAACAAACCAGTTTGTTGTAATGATGTCAGATTTCTGTTAATTAAGATACTTTCGTAAAAGCACGTTTCTGAGGTTTCATTTAAGTCTCGGCAGAGCTATACATGATGACATCATTCATTTTTCCCCTTTCAGAAGCCAAAAACATGTGACATTCTTTTTCTTAGTTAATGGAAGAATTTTTCCACAAACTGTGCAGAAGAATCATTTAAGGAACATTAGTTTTGGATTTGTATTTCAAAGATTTCCACATCTGCAAAAAACATCTGAATTTATAACAAGCAGACAGTAATTTGTGTTCGAACATTTTAATGGCTGTGTCGTAATTTTTGGAAACATAAAAATATCATTGAGGACTTGACGTGGAGAGAAGCCTACCATGACATTATTGTGTCAAGTTTATTCATATAATATTTAATGGTGACATCTGAAAATGACCGAACAGAAGGAGTTTTATGACATTTGCATAACCCAGAGGACTATTTGCTCCATTTGTGACTAATGTGAAAGTAAGATGGGCAAAAGATTGAAAAAGAAATGTTCGTCAAAGCGTCGCTTTATGGACATGATTCAACATTTTTTCCCTCTCCAGGTTTATAAAGTTGTGGTAAATGCGGAAGGAAAATCCTGGTTTATATTTAGAAGATATAATGAATTCCACACCCTGCATGAAAAGGTAAGACTGTTTAGTTAAACATACATTATGCAAGATCTAAATCTGCCTATTGCAAGTCTTTCTTTAGGCCTGAAATGTTATCTAAATTATTAATTAGCCATTAATTAACATATCCAGACCATAATCAACTCTTGATATCATCCCTAGCCTGCTATATTTACTGGATTAGGATCTGATCTGCTGCTCTAAGCTCATTTGTGATTAAATCAAGAAATTGATAATCAAGACTATGTATTTTATTGTATTGACTTTAGTGATGATGATCAAGGCTGGGCCCAAAATTCAGTTGCTAAATTCCCTTTACATTATCTAGCTTTTAACTATTATAGTGAGAACTGCCAGCTCTTTATCTAATCTCCCATAAAGTATCTTTAATAAGTTATTAAGTTAAAGGATTCATTGCATTGTCACACTATCTTTTGGGATCAACAGACTACTATTTTTCGATCAATAAATTTTGGGGGGTGGCAACCAGAAGCAAATCCCCACCCCACTTCCACCACCTCCTATCTATGGGCCTGTTAAATTAATAAGAGATCCAAAATGCCATATAACCGGTAATTACATGCTGTTAGACAAAGGCAAATACTGTCTTAAGCCAATTGTATCCAACTTTTAGGACCATGCTCCACCTCAACTCTTGCGACCTCCTTTTGCATAAAAGCTAGCCAAGTTCTGAGAAAGTACAATATAAAATGTAATACATCAAATTAAGAAAAATAAGAACTCTAAAAAATAAAATAGTTTTTTCAATTGTCATAAGGTAATATTATTATTTTGTCGCGATGGCAGGATATTTCCTGTACATCAACAATAATGAGTTCAGAAAAAATTGTTATTAATACATCATTTCCAAATTGCTCCAGCATCATTCACCATCATACAGAGCATATAACTCACGTTAGAAATCATTGATCTAACTCATTTCTGCATACAACAATTACATTTTAAAGACTTGATGCATCATTTAGAGCTATCGAAATCCTGGACACACTACGATATATTTTGAAAGTTTAATCTTAAACAGGAATATCAGTCCAAAATGGTTCAATTCCATTCAATATCTACAAAGTTATGATCAATTGAATTTTCATCGATCTATGATGCTCGGGTATAACAAGAGGGCGACATCTTTTATTAGTAAAAAATGAAATGAAATGGGGTTTAACGTCCTACTGTTCTGCTCCGGGGGAGCCATGGTGGCTAAGTCGGTAAGACACTGTCTAGCTAGCCTGGTGGTCGCATTGGCTGAGAAGGTTCATCAGGATTTTCCGGTATGGTTTCCCCTTGTCAGTGATGCAGAACAGAGGGCAGCTGTCTAGTTGTTCGGATGGGATGAAAAACCGAGGACCCATGTGTGTATACATTGGCGTGCCCATAAAAGATCCATTGGCAGTTGGAATTCGATATACCCGTCTTCATTAGCCCAGTTGGAGCACAACAGTTGTACATTAAACCCCATTTCATTATTGGTAGTGGAGAAACCTGAAAGAACCCAAGCCGGGAGGATATCTGGCAATTTGATTTTGTTCTAAATAATCAATCTGAGAACATATTTACATGTACCATAAGTCAAGTCTTGAAAATTTTGATATTTTGATGAAAATGCAAATTGTGCTTCGGACCTTTAAGTGATATTTACATTCATTTGGTGAAATCAGAAAATAGTATGTACTCTTTATGTTCCGTAACAGAAGTGAAATATTTGAGGGTTACCTTGTTTTAATATTGGTTTAATTAAATTGTCCCCTATTTAGAATTCTATACACACCACTGCTCGGCAAAATGTCAAATTGCTCCTTGTAATCAATTCAGGTAGTTAATGATGCCTACCATATAGTTTTCTTTTAAGAATGACACAAGCAAATTTCACTTCAGTCTGATGAGTACATGGATCATTATGTTTTGTCGCAAGAGACTACTACTGTGTTAGGGAAAAAATCATACAAGTTGATCTGCACCGTTGAAAATCATTGGGGTAGCAATTGCTTCCTATCTTGTGACTCAGGTTACAACTTTTACAATGCAAACTAAAACTGATTGTATATTTGAATCTGCTTGACAAGGATAGCTGTCTTGTTGATTGGAAGGGATGGAAAATCAAGGTCCCGTGTATACATTTGTGTGCACGTAAAAGAACCCATGACAGTTGGAATTGGTTACACATGTAAGAGTAGGCCACAGTGCCGCTGCCTGGACAGAATTCCCCTGATAGCGCACTGCATTGCATATGCCCGTCTTTATTAGCCTAGTCGGGGCAGACATGTAGGATGTTAAACCCCATTTCATTTCTGTTTGAATCAATTCGACCATAATATTCACAAACAAAATATTTTTATTTGTAACACGATTTGTAGACATACAAACCACCGCCTCACGTGTCGCAGACGTAAATATGTCATGTCAAATATAATTGCAAGCAACCATTGTTATACATTTGCTAAATTTAGAATTCTCAATGAAGAAATTAGAATTGATTGAAAATAAAGTGGTGGTTGTATTATGTAAACATCGGCTTCGATCAATACGACTGTGTAAGTTGATTTTCTTGGGAACAGAGTCTATAACATACATACATATACAGCTAATTTAAAGGGCCATAATCTCGATTATATTTTGGAGAATAAAACTGCTGTTTTACAGGGCCGTAACTAGCTCAGAGCAACGAGGGGGGCGGGAAGTGTTCTCAGGGGTGCTGTAAAATTGACGGACAATGTATGCGCTCCTCCCCCCTAGTTACGGGCCAGCTGTGTTAAAAGCCCTTAAAGTCCTCTACCATAGGGCCGAGCAACTAACTCAATATACGTTTTCAAACCTTATAAACCTTTCAGTCTTTATCTGGAAATGGAGACAAGTGTCCCAAAGCTGTATTATACGGTGTCTGGATAAAACAAGACTTTTATTTTATAAAAATAACGTGTAGGTGAGATTTACCTGTCGTTATCAAGTACAGCGTGTGGGTCATGCACTGTATAGACCTTTAAAGGATGGTAATAGATTAGCAGGTCACCCAACGGAAAAATTGACCTAAAATATTTTAAAATTACGTGTCCGGAAAAGCGGCTTTGACATTCACGTCCAAACAAATATTTTGAACTGAAATTTTGAGACAAGGTAAATACACCATTCCTCTATATTTTGACATTTAATTTTAATACCTACCCAGACTTAAAGTAATGGATCCCATATTTGATTAAGAAAACCAAATTAAAATACCAACACTAGATAAATCTCACGACTTGGATTCTATCAGATTTGAAATAGGGCAATTAATTCTGTTCGCCCAAAACAAAATGGCAGTGGGTGTAATACATGTACCTAGCAAGCAACATAGATCTATGAAATTTTAACTCAACATATCTTTGTAAATACTGAATGGAACTCAAGCCTGGAAATAAGGCACCTGTCACAGACAATGTCAGGCACAGATTCAGACTTTGTCAGGCACAAAACCTCTGGTGTCTGTCATTTTGTCCGGCACTGATTTGTCTTTTTTATTGACATTTATAATACATGTCCGGCACTAAGTTGAAAATGTCAGGTACTATTTCATTAGTGTCTGACATTTTGTCAGGTGCATCTAAAATCGTTATTTCCAGTACTGATGGAACTAAATATTCCTTTCAGAGATTCGCCTTTCACATTATTTCTATTATGCTAAGATGAAAATGAAATGGGCTGGGTTCATTGTGTATATGGCATCTCATTTTTCTGTCCCATCTGAATGACTATACGTTGTCCCTTGCCAGGCCCTCTGTTCTGCACCAGAGACAAGGAACTTTGGCAACACCGGAATCGCACGTGGGACCTCCAGGTTATGCTAGGTTCCCACTGTCGTGCGATGCGTTACAATAGTATTGTCCTTCTTGCTTCCATGATCAGGTACGTTTCGATACAATTAACACAATTGCTACGACTGACCTCAATATATCATAAGTTCTGATAGGATAACCCTGACTACTCCAGGATTAAGACCACAATTTCAATCGTAGCGTGAATTGTGATAGTTGGAACCTAGCATAAGCGAGACAACCTCTTACTCACTGAGCCACTGTGGCTCCTTTTGTGCTAAGATAACACAATGAAACTTTAACATCCAAACTGACAATTATTTGCATCATTACACCACAATTATAATGTTATAGCCGTATGTTTGACTGTGGGAATTAGACGTGAAAAGTTAACGGACAATTAATATGTATCTGGATTCACCCTACATCCACTGGTTATTGTAAAAAACGTTATGATAAGATGTTTCTAGATCCCTTGAGATCTGTGGTTATTGTAGTTATAGGGTTAATAAAGACAGACATATGCCATGATAATAATAATTGTTGCAGTTATATCACACCAAGTCTGCTCTGTTCATGTGAGAACTGTCATAAGTCCGGAAACTTTTCTTGAAAAGATGTGTCTTCAATCAAATTTTTGAAATTCTTTACGTTTTTGGCTGATTTAATGAAATGGGGGTTTAACCCTTCCTGAGTTAACCATAGAGGGCTATGCAAATATTAAGCAAAAAATTTGCAAGCTGTGGAAAACCAAGCATACCTTGAATATGAATGCGACCACAACTGTAATATTGCAGATGTATATCCATTATATATGACTTATAATTTTTTTATGGTTGCCATGGTTACCAGTGGATTTAAAAATGGATGCCATATTGTTATAAATGAAATATTGGGTATTTTCCTTGCCATTAAGACGGTCAGGAATGAAACTATATGGATTATTAGCATGATAGATATCTCTTTTGTAAGAATAATATAGGTTTCGGGGGCAAAGTCACTAAATTGTGATAATAATGAGGGTTTCTAAAATCCTGTAGTCAATAAAATGAAAAACAAGCAGTATTGATCAACATTCCTGCTGTAGATAACACAAATATACCAATCATCAGTAACAAATTTTTATTAACAAAAAAATAAATATTTGAAAAATAGCAATAATACATGTATATACCAAAATATTCACATTAGGGTTGTCATGGTAACTGA